TTTATCTGCTTCCCTGTGTTTGTTTCTATGTATTAGGTGGAGCTGCTATGTCTCTTGGACTTGGTAGAGTGGCCTTGTATAGCAGGTGTCCTGTAGGGCCAGTGGCACAGCTTCCCTGGTCACCTGAGCCGGGCTCTCCAGGTTCCCCCTGTATGGGCTGTGTGCACTGTCCTGTTGTATTTGAGCTTTGATTATTGTTGGCATCACTGGAAGAGATTGACCCTGAGGCTGACCAGCTGTGAGGACAGGCTATTACTATAGCAGAGGAGCTTCTGTGCAGGAGTCAACCCTATGGAGCAGGATTTGCTTCCGTGGGGTTTTGGTCCACCCCTTGAGTGTGTCACTTGTGGAGATGAGAGGGTTGTAATCCAGTGTAGTCTTAAGCTATCCACTGGGTGCACTGGCTCTGTGGCCTCCTGGGAGGTGCAAGGTCAGCCACTACCTGTGCCCTGCCTTGGGCCACTCAGTATGAACTACAGTGCCATGTGCAGATGGATGCCACTCGTGCTGGGCTTGGAGGTGCTCAGCAAAGGCCATAGTGTGAACCAAGGCCAACCACTGCTAGTACTGGGCCTTTGGCCACTGAGTAAGAGGTATGGGGTACACAGAGGCCAGATGCTGCTTGTTTGAGAGATTTTAGGAAAGTCCAAATCATAAGGCAAGAAAAGCCATTTATATGGAAAAGCCACTGGAAACAGCTTGAGTGGGCCCACAAGTTGGGTGTGGCGGAGGCTCGGGAACCACCAGGGTGGGGAGAACAGTGTTAGCTAGGTGACTGAATCTCAGATACGGTGCCCACTGCTCTGTGGCTCTGTAGGGGGAGGGGTCGGAAAAGGGACAATGGCTTCTTCCAGCAGTTTCGTCTGGGAGCAAGTTGTTCCCCCACAGCTCTCACCCCAATGCTGGACAATTGAGTTCTTCCCTGTATGTCCCTGGTCCCTTCTGAGCTGCCGCCCTAGCGCTGGAGCTCAGAGGGAGTGAGTCTGAGTGAGTCTGTTCACGTGCCCTTAGGAGGGGTGCCTGGGGCTTCAGAAGCCTTCTGTCTCACTCAGCCTCAATCTCCTCTGGGTTTTACAGACAGAAATTATAGGGACTTCTCTTCCCAGCACTGGAATCCTGGGTGAGGCTGGGACCCTCGGGCCTCAGAGAAGACCTCTGCAGCTGAGACATCCCTCCCGACTTTAAACCACCACACATGGATGTGGGACCAGTGTGTTCTGCATCTCTGCCCCTCCTGCCAGTCTTCATGTAGCTTCCTCTTTAAATCCCTGGTTGTAGGATTTCCATTCAGCTAGATTTTAGGGCGTTCTGAATGATGACCATCCTGTAATTTAGCTACAATTTTGATGTGGTTGTGGGAGGTTTCCAGCACCACATTTACTTATGCCACCGTCTTGACCAAAAGGTTTCTGGCTGGGGCTTTGAGGCGCTGAAAAGGTCCAGGGAGTTAGAGCTTGGCATCCGGGCCTTCACCCCAGAAGCATTTGCCGGTTTCAAAAGCTACTGCTGATCTTTGCACAAACTCATCGGTCTTGAGGATGAGGAAGATAGCATTTGCCTTTACCTCCCACTGAGGGGGAGGGGCCCCGATAAACACCCCAGGTCTGGGCTGGGACCCTGGAGGGTCAGGAGTGATGAAGCGCAGCAGCCCGCACAGCTACTGAGTCCTGTCCCGCCCTGCCTGGGTGAAAGGTGCCTGGGCCGCGGCGCCCTGGCCGCACTGCCTGGTGCAGCCGAGGTGAGACAGCTTCATCCAGAGCCTCATGTGACAGTGTATGTTATATGGTGCCCAGCAGTCAGCAGAGAGTACTCAGACACGGACAGGGCCACCTGTGCACAGGAGAAAACAGGTGATAGGAGGAGACCCAGCCCAGTGGGGGTTTAAAGGAGGGGGGTCATCAGGGGCAGCCTTTACATGAACCACAATAAAATGTTGAGGGATTTAAAAGACAAGAGTGAAATTTTGGCAGAGGACTGGAAACTGTACAAGAAGGAACCAAATGTAAACTCTAGAACTGAAAGAGGCAATGAACTGAAATTGGGAAAGATGGCATTGATGTGAACGTCGCTGTGCCGAACAGTGTGTGGGCATGACAATTAGGGCTCCCCCTGCCGTCCCCAGAGACCTGCCCAGTGTCACTCCAAGGACACAGACAGCCTGCTTTTCTGATCTTCCTGTAAGTGGTACGTGGTCATTTCTGCTCTCACAAGCACATAGTCGGGCAGGGCTCGGCATGTGGAAGGAGCTAGACACAAATGTGACGCCCAGAGCTCAGAGGGAAAGGCAAGGGCTCAATGGGGAGGGCCAAGTCCACTACGTGATGCAGTCACTAAATTTAATTCAGGAAGCAGAGTGAGGCATGGAGCGCCAGAACTGAGAATGAAGTTAGTCAGAGATTTCCTGTGGGCAGAAACCATAGGGACACCAACTGTTTTAAGACGGAACCAAGAGTGGAACTGTGGCCAGAAGCGTGAAGAGAAGGAGGCCGCTTCTCCTCCCCCTACTTCCTCCTCACCCCAGGGAGCGAGGACCAGAGTCCAGGGCAGGACTGACTGGGTCACACGCATTGTAACCGACTCACCCCCTTTACTTGGGATGAAGTACACACTCAGTGGCAACCTGTTGAGTATTTCCTATGTGCCAAGGTCAGGCTAAGTTCACCACATGCAGTACCTCAGCTCTCACAGTGACCCATGACAAAGCTTCTATTACTAGCCCCAGCTAATCAATAATGAAACTTGGACTGAGAGAGCTTGGGCACACATCCTGGGTGGCCCCACTCGTAAATGACACAGGAAGATGCAGTCCAGATTTCCTGACGTCAAGCCTGGTCCAGGGCTGCCCACCCCAGACCCAGAAAGGCCTGTGGGCCACTTCTCGGGCAAACTGGCCAAAGGGTACATACCTTGAAAAGGAACTCATGGCTTCTTCTCTCCAGAAGAAATCTGCCTCTGAATTTGCAGAACAGTCCCAGGAGAATGTTCTGGAGAGAACAGTCTCTCCAGAGACTGTTCTCTCTGGAGACTGCAGCACATTCCCAACAGCCAAACTATGGGAGGACCTTGACTGTGGGTTCATACGCATCACCTCCTCCAGGCAGCCCTCTCCAAAGCCAACAAAGACAAACCCTCAAAGGGAGATACCATTTCTCGAATGTGTTTTAGGGGCTAGATGACTCCCACTGAATCACAGGGCTATTCGTCCCTCCAAGCAAACTCCTAGGGAGGTGATACAACTTTTGCATAAATACTCCATTCACTCTCATGAGCTCTTTAAAGGTACAGGAAATTCCTTTGTAACCTTCCGCTTCATTTTTTTTTATTGAGGTATAATTGACGGATTATATTGACTTCAGGCGTAGAACATAACGGTTTACCTGTCACAATACATGGTCATACAATTTTGTTCTTGTGATGAGAGCTTTTAAGATCTAGTCTCTTAACAACTTTCAAATACACAGTGTAGCCTTCCTCTTTGAAGGGTTTACCCTCATTTGGACAGAGACTCTGGTTTGTTTGTTGAAAATCAAATCAGACTTATCACATTGACTGCTGCAGGAGGACGGCTGGCTGGGGGCCATATGCGTGTCATTAGTGAGCTGTGTGACTCCGGCTGGTCCCTGTCCTTCTGGGTCTTTCTGGGTCTTCTTCGAAACAGCGATGGGGGTGGGAGGGTTGCTGAGCTCACATCCAGTCCTGAAATGCTACAATCTTTTTCTGCGCAGATATGTGTACTCCCATCATGCAGGTCAAGTAGAAACTCTCCTTCCTTGTCTTTTTTCTACTCATAAATACAAGTGTGTTTACCTTTTCCCTAACTCTCTAGGAGGTAGTAAGGAAGGAAGTGAATGTTTATTAGTGTCCACTCTGGGCCAGAATTTCCCCCTTCCAAACTCTCCGTCCCTTCCCTTCCCTTCCCTTCCCTCCCCTTCCCTTCCCTTCCCTTCCCTTCCCTTCCCTTCCCTTCCCTTCCCTTCCCTTCCCTTCCCTTCCCTTCCCTCCCCTCCCCTCCCCTCCCTTCCTTTCCTTCCCCTTCCCTCCCCTCCCCTCCCCTCCCTCCCCTTCCTTTCCCTTCCCTTCCCTTCCCTTCCTCTTCCCCTTTCCTTCCCCTTCCCCTCCCCTTCTCTCCCTCTTCACACTGTGAGAAAGACACTATTGACCTCATTCTGGGCATGAGGAGGCAGAGGCCCAAAGCAGTAAAGTGACTTGTTCAAGGCCACACATGTGGCTACAGGCAAGTGGCAGGGGTAGAAATGGGAGGGAAGCCCAATTGTAGCCCAGTGCCAAGTTTTCCCCAGTGTCTCAAGACTGTAGTTCAAAGCCGTGGAGGACAGGACAGGGCTGGCGTCAGAACGCCTCCCTGGAAGCTGTCTTGGAAGCAGGAGCCAGAAACCTTCAGGCAAATCCGCCAGCACCGGTTTCTGTAAATAAAGTCAGATGGAACCCAACCAGCTTGTTTGTTTACAGAATTTCTACTTGCTTTTAAACTCTGACAGTGAGCTCAGTGATCACGAGACTGTGGGGCCCACGCATCCTAAAATGTTTACTATTTGGTGCTTTTCACAGAATGTTCACTGCCCCTGGCCCAGAGTCCAGCAAGGTTGTGCCTCCTGCACAGGACGCAACATGCCATGAGACCGTCCCCGTGTCCTGGGCCTGCCACTCAGCATTAAGAAAGGGGACATTTCTGCTCAAATTTGGTTTTTTACGTCAACACACAGTCACTGGACACCTGTCAGGCTGAAGAGCGTGTTTGGTTTCCTCTGCGCTCGTCTTCCCAGGAACTCGGTGAAGGGAAATGGAAACCTCCGCTTTGGGGAAATTGCACCAGGGGAGGAGAGGGGCATGGTTACAACACCGCGTTGCGACACCCAGCAGGGCTGACCGTGACAACGGCCAGGGTTTCTCGTTTTGGAAATTTGAGGGCATTTCCGTTGCTGAGAGTGGGACAGGGCGGCAACCTCTGGTCTGGGTGAGGGGCTATCTTCTTTATAAACAGCTCCCCTGGGCCCGAAATGGCAGTCCCCAACGGCAGCGGTGCCACAGGATGGAAATCTGCAGGTGCCCCCCAAGTCACCTAATCTCTCTCCTCCTCCTCCTGTTTGTTTCAGAGACAGCCTGCCGCCCCTCGGGGAGGAGGCCCTGCAAGATGCAAGCGTTCAGGTAAGGCTGACCGAGGAGGTGGGGTGGACACGTCACAGGCGTCTGTGCCTGGGCTGGAAAGCGATGTTCGTTAGGTTAGAAAAGGGGGTTGCCACGTGTGGGGCCTTTGGGGGTTGTGTTTCAAAATATCCCAGGTGTGCAAGCCTGGCTGGCTTTGGAGGCCTGGCTGGCTTTCCCTGATACCTGGCAACTCAGTGAGTGATGGGCATGTGCCCAGGAGCCCGGCTGGGGTTTGTGCCGAATGTGCTGGTGTGCCAGGCAGAGCAGCTGAGAGGACACCAGGGCGGGGGGTTGTGCCAAGTTCTAGGTGATGGTTAGCAATGCCTGTCTGTGCTGACAAGGTGGAGGATCCCCCCTGGGGCCTCAGTTTCCCCATCTGTGACACGGGTTTACAAGGACCCCGTCTGTCCACCAGAGTGGTTGTGAAGATGGCAGTGTGAATGTGCTCTGAGAACTCTAAAGTGCCCCCTAGATGCTGTGGCTTGTCAAAATTGGGCCAGAAGCTCTGTAGGTGTCACCATCACTGTTGTGAAGATGGCAGGCTGTGATGTGACCACAGGTGCCCTCTGCCTTGTCACCTATGACCGAGCTTGTCTGGGTGACTTCGCCATCCAGTGCTGAGTTTCCCTGGCCAAGGCTACAGGCCAGACTGTGTGCGCATGCCCCTGGGAAGTCCTCTACTTCCCAGATGTGGGAAGGTTCGCTCTGCCTCCTCCTGTGGGCTGGGAGCTCCAGGAGGAGCCCCCGGAGGCCTGCAGAAGGGGCAGTTTAGTCCCTTCAGATGCATGCACCCAGAACTAAGAGTAATTACAAAAGGTCACATGCTTCTATGTGCAAACAGCTTGATGGCTTGCCTGACCACCTCACCAAGTTCTGGGCTCCTGGAAGCCACCTGCTGAGGTGGCACTGTTGGCGGCACCTCCCAGGACAGGAGTGAGGCACAGGCCCAAGGTAGAGCCATCGGGCAGTAGGGAGCAGAAGGCCCACATCCATCTCATAGCCAGAGGGGCTGTTCACCAAGAAGACAAGACCTGGAGCCAGAAACAGACTATTGGGTGAGCTAGACAGGATGCTGACCCCTTCCAGGGACAGCTGCCCCTGCCAGAGCCAGAGCAGGCCCTTGGTGGGTGGAGAACAGGCTTGGAGACAGACCTTCCCAAGTTACAACAAGATTCTCTGTTCCTTGAAACTTCTGGTCTCAGATGACACTCTATGTTTACATATAAATTAATACTTAATAAAATTAAATTAATAAAAATAAAAATAAAAAATTCAGATCTTCAGTTGCACCACATTTCAAGAGCTCAGTAGCCATGTGTGGATGGTGGCCGCCATGTGGGCAACAGACCGGACCCTCTGCACCCTGGAAAGTCCTACTGGCAGGAGCTTCCCTGGGAATGAAGTCCAGGCACTTGTCCCAGGAATTGTAGGGTGAAGAGCAGGGTGAGGACTGGGCCTGTCCCCGAAGCAGCACTGGTCTCAGTCGCCTCTCATACCGTGGGTATGCGAAAACATCGCTCCCCGGGCAGAAAGTTGGATGCACACTCAGTGAATTCAGGGGACACAGGGCCTGGGCACAGGGCCCGGCACAACTGTGTCCAGTACCGTGGGTCCTTTCACTTTTCAGAATCTGGGATATTAACCAGAAGACCTTCTACCTGAGGCATAACCAGCTAGTTGCCGGGTACTTGCAAGGACCAAACACCAAGTTAGAAGGTGAGTGGTTGCCAGGAACGCTGTTGTGTGAGCTCTAGGTCACTCTGCCTGGGGTCTGCAGTGTAGTGGCCTCTGTGTGACACTGTGATCCTGCTGCGGAGGCCGGCCATCAGGGGGACGGAGGGACGTGTGAGGGCAGGGAGGGGGACAGCCTGGGTGGGGAGCCACCCCCTGCAGGCCCAGTGGCCCTAGGACCACAGCTCGGGGTAGGGAGCAGGAAGCAAGAAGGACCTTCCCTTCCTCCTGTGCCCAGTCAGCCCCTGGGTCCCTGTGTGTTTAAACTCGAACTCATTCCCACAATGAACACACCACACAAGCGGGGCCATGTCCCTTATTTGTGGACATGCATTGAGCAGGCCCTGGGCCACGTCCTACATAAGCCAGATGAACTCGGGTAGCTGCCCCCAGTCTAGTCCTCAGTTTTCCCTTTAGTACAATGAGGGCAAGTGGGGGGGGGGGCTCCAGCACTGGCCTTCGGGGATGTGTTGTCTTCACCTCTCCACCCTGCCCCTCCCCTGTTCTCCCCAACCCTCATCCTGTGGGAGGGCAAGGCCTGCATTTCCAGTCCTGTATTGCTCTTAATAAACATGCTAAGGCAGAAAGGCTTGGCTTTTACTGCTACATGAGGCCTAGGGACCACTGAGGAGAGAGGCGGGTTCAAAGTCACCAAGCCCTGGGGCCCCACTCGTGACCTCACTTGCGATTCCCCCCCATCATGAGCAGCACACCTATTGGCCTGCAGCACAGGTGTCCCAGGAATTGAAGGAAGGAGGGAAATCACATGGAGCAGAAGCCCAGTAGCTTTGTCCCTGAGGTGTGGAGGTGGCTGTTCTTGGTTGGATCTTCTGTTGGATGCAGACCAAAAAGATGGGGCTTCACTGTGCTTATGACCTTGGGTTTAGTTGGTGGGACAGAAAAGCCCCAGAGAGTCCGGGCTCTTCTCCATCTGTGCCTCCTCTTCTCTACACCCTGACCTTCCCCTCTGCTCTTCCCCAGAGAAGATAGACGTGGTGCCCATCGAGCCCCACACTGTGTTCCTGGGGATCCATGGCGGAAAGCTGTGCCTGGCCTGCGCCAAGGTCGGCGATGAGATCCGGCTCCAGTTGGAGGTAAGGACCTGCCTCAGATGACAGCCACCTCAAACCCAGTGGCTTCAAACAACCACAGTATGTCCTTCCTCATGACTCCGTGCTTGTCAGCTGTTTGCTGGGGGCTGGTGCTGCAGCGACGTCCAGCAGGGAACTCGGCTGGGGCATCGGGATGGTTTCTCCCAGCCAGGCTCTTCCCTGTGGTCACCTGTTGTTAGCTTCGGCGTCTTTATAGCATCGCCACTGGTTTCCAAGAAGGATTTTTCAGAAAACACAAGCACTTTTTAAATGCCTGATTGCATCATACTGCTAATGTCCCCTTAGCTGAAGCCCATCACGTGGCCGAGTCCAGACTCAGTTGGGGAGGGGACATACAGGGGTCAGCAACGGGGGGAGGCTCATTTGGCAACTTCGATCTCTGTGTGCCACTCTCTTGTCTGAGGGCCTCCAACCTGCTTAGACTTGACGTCTTCCAGTAAAGCCCCCATCTAGGGCCTCTTTCTCCTAATGCTTGTCTACTCAGACTGTGGGTTGGCATCCCACCCAGGGCCCTGCACACTCTGGTCCCATGCAGTGTTAATGGGCTGCCCTCAGAAAAGATGGCTTTGTCTCAGGCGCTTATTGGAACAAATCTTAACCCAATTGTGAACCTTGACCCACAGTGGCCATAACAGTGGCACTGCCAGGTCACTCCACTAGTGGGCAGGGCACTTTTTCTGAGAGCGACTGCCTGCTCTGTGTGGAGTGGGATGGTGTTGAGTGGACTGCGATGCTCTACCCACCTCCTGCACTGCCCCGACCTTGGAGGCGTAGGCCCCAACAGAGCTGAGCCTCCACAGGCCGGGACCTCCGCTGATAGTTCATTAAGCTTTTTGGCCCAGAGCGACAGTGGCCAGATTTTCCCAAGCCAAGGTGTGAGGATGGGGTGTGTAGTCTCCTGTGGGGGTCTCTAGTCTGCATTTTTCTGCCACTTACTGTGGGCCAGCCCGAGGGCCCTGTCGTGAGCTAGAGGGGTTGGCGGCACAAGAACTCTCACCTGCTCATCTCTTGGCTTCCAGGAGGTCAACATCACTGACCTGAGCAAGACCAGGGAGGAGGACAAGCGCTTCACCTTCATCCGCTCAGAAAATGGCCCCACTACCAGCTTTGAGTCTGCTGCCTGCCCCGGTTGGTTCCTCTGCACAGAGCTGGAGGCAGACCAGCCAGTCAGCCTCACCAACACACCCAAGGAAGCCATCAAAGTCACCAAGTTCTATTTCCAGCAGGATTAGTGGTGTTGCCACACCACCGCCCTGCTGCAGCACCTCTATGACTCCAGACGCCGCTCCACCCTTCCCATGGTCCTCCTAGCTGTCTCAGGGCTCCGAGGAGCAGCCTTTGCAGGTGGACCCTGGTGTGAGGACTCTGTCTCCAGCCCCTCAGCTGATGCGGCCTTCATGCTGCCTCCACAGCAGACTTTCTAAAGTGCAACTTGAAACACAACATAGCTCACAGCCCTTCCTTCACTGTCCCCCGGGTCTTCCCGATGACATCTGGGCCACCTGGACAGCCTGACACCTCTGCTTTCCTCTCTCAGCTCCCCCTCTTCCTCCCTGTCCATGTCCCAGGTCCCTAAAGCCACTCACTCATCTCCCACCAAGTGGCTCCCAAACCTTGTTTTGCAAACCTTGGGACAGCAGCAATGTTAGGGTCTGTGGCAAAAAGAAAAAATAAGGACTTCATGATATTTTTTTAAAGCCCACTTTACCCAAGTTTAAAGAGTACTTTATTAGGGCATTATATCCTTCCTGGAAGAGGTTGGGCAATCTACTTATTTCACTGTTTTACAATAAACCTTAAGAATGCATCTACTTTGCTGGCTGTGTCTATGGCTCCCGGGCTCGGGGCAGAGAGTGCTGGGAAATGGGGAGGCCGAGGGCCTCCTCACCCCGGGGCCAGCCTGGCCGCTGCTCCTCCGAGTCCTCCTCTCCTTGGGCCTTGCTCTCCCTGGACACTCGAGACCAAGTCTCCCTTCAGGAAGGTGTGTGGCAGCCTTGTCCACAATACTCCCAAACCGAAAACAACCCAAACCCCATCACAGAAGAGTGGAGCCTGTGTGTTCATACAATCCAGCTCAACAGAAAAGAAATTAAAAGATGAACCACAGCCAGCAGCACAGAACGAAATGGGCAAACCTTGCCCACACTATGGGGACAAACGTCGCCAGAGCAGAGAGCATGATTCCACTTACATGGAGCTCAAAACTGGCAGAATCGAGCAGTTGCGTGGAGGGGTGTCTGGACAAGAAGGGGAGAAGTACAATAAAAACATGGTTTCCCTGACCACCGGCCGTGGTGGCTCTGGGACATGGAGGGTCAGCTGGGGACACCAGAGCAGTGAGGACCCAGGCAACATGCCATTTCTTGGCACAGACGTGGTCAGGCAGTTTTCTGTACATGCGTTGTATTTCAATTGTTAAATGCCCAACAAATAAAAAGCCCATCCCCGGATGTGAGGGAGGGGGCATCTGGGAAATGACAGGATCAACAGGGGGAACATCGCATTTGGCCCCGTGAGGTGGACGTGCTAAACCCGAAGAATGACTGCTCATCAGCTGTCCCTCGACTAATAGGCAAACAGGGAGTGTGGTCGTCCCTGCTGCCGGGGGTTCTGGAGTCAGGCCCCAGCTGGGCCAGAAGCCCTTGCCTGCTCCAGGAGAGGGTTGACTGAGATCTGGTTTCCAAAGGGGGCTCCCTAGGACCCTCTCCCAGGTACCTGGGGAGGAACCTCACATAGTGAAGCTGAGCAGCTGGGCTCCACCCCTCACCCCACTCGGCTTCCTGCTCACAAGCTGGACTGCCCAGTGTTACTGGAGGAGGAGATCTCATTGCTAGGAACAAACTACGTCCAGTAGGTTAAAAAGCAACCGATTGGAGAAGATCTTCACGATCTTGTCCAGATCTCAGCTCCTGTGATGACAATGAAGTCAAAGAGGTTGCCCATCTCAGCATCTCTTCCTCATGTGTTAAGTGGAAGCAACCATGCCTGCTCCATCAGGACCATACCTGGATGAAATGAGGTGATACAGTTGCAACACTGTGTGATAAAAGGGCCTGCAAGGTCATGTTTTCAGTCCTGATGAAGGGGGAAGTTCAGGGCAGAAAACCATTCAAGGATGACTGGTGACAACAGCAGTGAACACGTGCTTCTTCTCTGCGGCCATCCTGCCCTCCAGATGCTTCATGTGATAAGATTATTCCAGGCCAGGCAGGGCAAAAGCCCTGGGACTCTGGAGCCACTTCCAGTTTGCATTTTGCACTCCTGGAAAAGATAAGGTCTTGGAGCCTCAGTGTCCTCATGGCTAATGCACAGGGTGGAGTTGCCCCAGTTAATCTTTGTAGGAACCTTCTGTGGTAGGTACTACCATTACTTTCCTGGTAATCGATACTAGTAAAAGTACGCCACTCAAAGCAATCTACTTTAAAGTTTTGTCGCTCCAAGTGCAGTCTGAAGACCAGGAGCAGCAGTGTTCAGGAGGGAAAAGGCAGCACCCCAGCCGCAGGCCAGACGCACCGACTGAGGGCCTAATCCTGAGCAGTCTCCAGGTGGCTCTACGTGGGTTAAAGTTTGAGCTCATCTTTAAAGCACAGCACCTCCTTCCAGCTCACTGATGACAGTGAGACCTCCGTCTCAGCACCTCTTCGCCTAGGGCCCGTAGCTCTCCGGGACAGCAAGAGCTGGGAGCCACAGTCATCCTAGAATGTCTGCTCCACACATGCAGGGGTTCCCATGTTTTCTGTGATGCATGTCAGGTACCCAGATCAGTGGTCAGTATGCCCTGCATGCTCAGTAAATATTTGGTGAATAAATGAATTCACTACTAATAAACCAGTAGGAATTAATGCAATCCCTTGATCAGAAAATTTGAGAAGACAGAGGACTTGGGCTAGCAGAGTTTTGAAAAAAGACTAGAAAAAGGGAAAGGCCTAGAAGTAGGAGGTTCCTGCGGTTTGGGGCTTTCAAGGAATGAAATATGAGCAGGAGGTGGCGAAGGCACGCTCCAATCTGACTGGTGATGCTTTGACAGGCTACTCTGGGGAGCCCTCCCAGTAGGAATCAGTCTAGAGGCCACTCAGTGGTTGTAGCTTAAAGGACGGGAAGGCACAGGGCTGAGGGAGGGGAAGGGGAAATGGGGCTCGTGTGTCTGGACGACACATTGGGAATCTCGGGGACAGAGGGCACTTAAGGACAGCAGAGCTTGAGGCTTTTGTGGCCTAAGCTTATCTATGGCTGGCAAATGTTCAGTACAGTTTTGAGGGAAGTGTAAAACAGGCAGTCTCTAACTGGCTAAAAATCTGCTTGCCTGGGTCATGTTTAAAGCAATTGGATATGGACACATTGAGTTTGGCATCGGGTGGGCTACTGAGTGCGTTGTGAAGAAATCAACCACCCGGAGCTGGTACCTGGAGGGCACTCTTGCTCCTTGGCACAACTCATGCCTGGGATATGGCTCAGGGACCCAGGCTTGGACAGCAAGCTGCAGTGAGGCTTCTGTACAGCTAGGGGGGAAGGTGCAAGGGTGATGGGAGATGGGGGTTTCAGATGGGAGAGAAAGCACAGAGATGGAAGGTGGATGAGGATCTCAGAGGAATGTGGCCTTCCTGTCATACATAGGCCTGACTACACAATAAAGCCACAGAATCACAGAGCAGCCCAGACAAAAGGTTGAAACTGAATACACAGCACTCCGGTCTTCAAGGCTTTCAAGTCTACTCAGGGCTTCCCCTCTAATGAACAAGGTGACCGTGGTCAGGCAAACTCCACTCAACTTTTTCACTTAAGGAGGTAGGGATTAGACTAATCTATATTCTCATTAGACTCACCTGCAGGGTTTTTAAAAAATTATGCCAGTGCAGTACAACCCCCCAGCCTCAGGACTGGTTTGTGGTGGCTGGGGGATGAAGCCATGACATCACCCCGCCAGGGCCCAGGCCCCTGGACCAAATGGCTCCTGACTCAAGGACCCTGAAGTCAAGTTCTCCCAGCTGCTCCCTCAGTGGGGCTCTGCCTGGAGCTTCTGCAAATGCAAAGGAGAGAGATGGTCTTTCACAAGATAAAAAGACTCCACCGAGTCACAGTGTATTCTGACTATATTTTAATGTGAGGTTTTCTACTTTCTGTGGTTAAGATGTAGTTCAAGCTTCATTTTTGCTCCTTTTTTTTTTTGCATAAATTGTGCTATACTAGCAGCTGTTAAGTGGAGGGTCAAATTTCTGCAAATCTTGGGAAAACCAATAATTTTGTGTTTTATTTTCACATAACTATGAAATCTCTAAATCACAGTGGCAAACCTCAACATGCTTGATAATAAGCCCAGTGCTCAGAAAAGTTTGGAGAGCTAGTAAAATACATCTGTGGGGTTCATGGCCTCAAACTGAAAAAGCTTAAATAGAAGGATGGTCAGCTTCCAAGAGAATGTGTGGCCTCTGGGTCCTTGCGGCGTCAAGTGTATGGGGTAAACAGCAGCTGCAGAAATGTCGCGAGTGGGGCAAGACAGCAGCAGAGTAGCAGAGTAGGTACAAGTTACACTCGCCTCCCCCCAGGACCGTATCAGAGTAGTGGCTAAAGAACAGAACAATCAACATGAATAACCATTTGAAGACTAGCTGAATAAAAGTCTTATAAGTAAGGCTTTGCAGAGGCACCTGCATCGAGACCAGTAGGAAAAGCACAGATGCGAAAGGGGCTGGCCGCACACCCATGGGTGGGAGGTGAGAATCCAGAGGGCTCTCTGGGCTGAGGAGGATCACTGCAGAGAAGCAAGGGATCTCTGGAGGCATCAGACCCCACTGGGGCAAATTCTGTTCTGGAGGTCAGCCTCCACATAGCAGGTCATACACTGTGGTTGGGGTCAATCCCACCCACAGACAGGCCAACAGCAATTGAGACCCAACTACAACAGGAGGATTCACATAACCTGGAGCACCTAGCTCAGGTGGTCGAGGAGGTTGTGCCACTGAGTCCCACAAAACTCGTACTACATAAGGCCACCATAAAAATACCAGGAGACATAGCAGATCTACCTAATACACAGAAACAAATACAGAGAGGCAGCCAAACATGGAAGATAAAGAAACATGCCTCAAATGAAAGAATGGGAGAAATCCACAGGAAAAGAACAAAATGAAATGGAGTCAAGCAAGTTACCAGACCCAGAGTTCAAAACAATGGATATAATGATGCTCAAGGAACTCAGGGGAAGAGTGAATGAACCCAATGAGAACTTAAAGAGATAGTAAGAAATAGAAAGGCAATAGAAACCATAAAAAATAACCAGTCAGAAATGAAGAATACAGTAACAGAAATGAAGAGTACACTAGAACAAATCAACATCAGGTTAGACAAAGCAGAGAATCAAATTAGCAATTTGGAGAACAAGGTAGCAGAAAATACCCAAGAAGGGCAGCAAAAAAAAAAAAAGAAATTAAAAAAAATGAAAATACTCTGAGGACCCTCTGGGACAACATCAAGCATAACAACATCTGTATCATAGGTACACCAGAAGGAGAAGAGAGGCAGCAAAGGATTGAGAACCTATCTGAAGAAATAAAGACAGAAAACTTCCCTAACCTGGTGAAGGAAAAATATAGACCAGTCCAGGCAACACAGAGGATCCCAAACAAGATGAACCCAAAGAGGCCCACACCAAGACACATCATAATTAAAATGGCAAAGATTAAAAACAAAGAATTTTTAAAGCAGCAAGAGAAAGAGAGTTAGTTATCTACAAGGGAGCTCCCATAAGACTGTCAGCTGATTTTTCAACAGAAACTTTTCAGGCCAGAAGGGATTTAATAACCAAATCTGATTA